TAACTATTTGTTTGCAAGTGCCGAAATCAATTTTATGGCCTGTCTGATGTTGGTGCTGAAACAAAGCAGATGTTGTTTACTTGTTTCTTATGGCTAAACGATGTTCCTCGAGCCTGGCTGAAATCCTTCTGTTGGTCTGTCCCACATACGTCAGGCTGCACGATCCGCACGCTACACTGTATACTCCTTGGTTTTCCAGAGTAATTTTTTGTTTTGGGTTTCTTAGTATAGCTCCGATGGTATGGTCAGTTGATATGTCGTGTTTCCGTAATATTCGGCCGATTTTGTCAGTAACCCCCTTGATGTATGGCAGTACAGCGATCGATCTTCGTTGGGTCTCGTCCTGCACTCTCTGCTGCGGCTGTTGTTGTTTACTGATTGCCTTGCTGATGGTGCGCCTTCGTGCGTGTTCGAAGTGTTTTCGGAGCGCGAGCATTGAAGATGCCAAGTGAGATTTTGGCGAAACGTCTGCAGGATTCCAGTCGGATGCAGGATTTGCAGGATTCCAGTCGGATGCAGGTTTCCAGTCGGAGTTCAACGAGCGAACGGATGATATCCCGGAATATGGTATATATATATATATATATATATATCTATATATATATATATATATATATATATATATATATATATATATATATATATATATATATATATATATATATATATATATATATATATATATATATATATATATATATATATATATATATATATATATATATATATATATATATATATATATATATATATATATATATATATATATATATATTGATTTTATCTCCTCGTGTATTAATAGCAAATTAGCAAATTATTGATATTTTTAGTGTTTGAATAATGTAATTTTATTATTTGACGTTTTTCTTCTTCAGTATAACGCATTTTAAATAACTTAACTAATAACTTACGCTGCAAAACATAGATAAATGAAATATCAATCAACTACATGTTTTTGAAATCAGGAAAAATGGATCCACGATTTAAGCTAATAACATATAGGGCCATTCCATTTTTAAAAAATTATGCTGCTGCCATTTTGACAGATTGCAATAGTCGTTTGTTTTTTCTGACATTTGCTAATGATCAGAGAGCAAAAATCTTTAAACTTTTGTATTTACACTTCTTTTTCTATCTTCCAAAATTAGCCCTGTTGGTCTTTTAATATACAAAAGTTTATAAGTATCTCATAAAATAAAAAAGTATATATTTTTTGTGTGATTGTATAGGGTTTTCCCTCAATTTAATTAAGAATGATAGAAGTACGTAATTTAATCTCCTTCACTCATTTAAAAATAAGAATAATGCCAAAAGTGTTTTTTTTTATAATAATAATAATACTTTCATAATATTATACTTTTCTATCGCTTTTTGTTTCAAATATAATTTAAAACACTCATTTGGCTTTATTTCTTTTCTTTAATTTTATTTTTTCTTTCTTTTCTCTCCAACAACCAACAACAGCCACCATGGCTCATCTTGCATGACAGCGAATTTAAATTGTCCTTATTTCCTGATGGAGTCTTCTATCCTTAGATGTTCATCCACTAAGTTTGTATTCATATTATGGCCTAAAAGTCTTCATACTACACCAACGAATGAGTTCCATATTCTGAGCCTCTGCCTAGTATTATTTTCTATAAAATCAACATCTTAAACAAAAATTCCTCCTTTTAATTTTACTTAACAGAAGAAAAAGTTGTGGTAGGTATTTGAATCCATCAATCATAGCTTTCACAAAGTTTTCATTCTCTGCACCAGTGACACAACTGACACAGCATATGTGCTTGTCTGGTTGCCTTAATCTTTAATTGCTGAATTTAACAAAAATTTACATATTTAATGACAAGATGTCAATGTCAATTAATTGCCTAATATTTCGATATAATACAATTTACTGCCTGCCAATGTAAAATGAAAGCCATTGAAATGTGGCATGGGTTTTGGAATAATTTCTCTATTATTACTGGTAAACGAAATTGTGCTCTTTCAAGAAGTTATCTTGTATAGGAACATAATTTTTTTGGCAAAGGTGTACTCAATAACCATTTTTTTTAAGTAATACTTTGCTATTTTCTGTCATGCCATACGCGGATCAATACCGAAAATTTACGACTTCATTACGACGCAAAAAGTTGCATCATATCTACTTGAACAACTTCGATCAACAATGCCTTACTACCGTTTCATTAAAAGTCAAAATGCTTATCGATATTTGAAAAAATTAAACTTAGGAGATAAGTTAGCACTTCATGTATACACGAAATTACTAAATTAAGATCTAATGCAAAAGTGATGTAAAATTAAAATTGGTTGGTTCATATTCTATGTGAAATGTAAAAGCCAATTATCTCTGAAATCACTATACAGTCATGGATGGATAAAAATTATATTAGATATTTCTCATGCGAGAGCAATTTTAAAAAAGGAATATGATTAAAGAAGTCGACAGTTAGTTCTACAGCTGGCTAAAGCAATACCGAAATATTACGGGCCTATGCAAAGAAGAAAAAACTTCTTGTTCTCTGACTATGGAGTACCGCTATTTCATTTCTAAATCAACCAAATAATTTTTTTTATCAAATTTTAATGGACAAAAATTCTAGCCCAATTTTGTTTATTTAGTTAATTTTGGTCCGATTTAATAATTTTAATCAATTTTAATCAATTTTTAATAATAAAAGCACCTGTTAGCGTATTACCTACTGTATCTATTAAAACAATGACAGCAAACCAATTTTTAAAGTCGGCTCTTCGAACCATCCTCGGATTCTCTTACTCCAAATATACGCCATAACAATAAAATTTTATGCATAATATCTTGGTGGTTGAGAATACACTAGCAATGCAATTAAATGCTTTACTTTTACAGAATGGTAAGGATGTAGTCCTTGTATGTGGGTCATTCTATAAAGCTAAAAATTTATTTACCCACCTAACAAAACCGGAAAATACAGGGGAAGTTTTTTATTTCCATAGCAATTTAAGGAAAAATGTGGATGTGAATAGATTAAAAAATTATATAAATAAACTTATGAGAGTTTCAGGAATATATCAGACATATAAAACAGCAACAAAATAAATAAAAAACAAATTAAGAAATGTATATATTGAAGATCAGACCCAATCAAACATTACCTTACATTTTCATCCTCAAAAAGGTCTTCTACTGAATAGTAGTTTTTATTTAGAAAAAAATCTTAAAATTTTCTTTATATATTTTTTTCGAAGTTTGCCGTCCATTGTAATTTTTTTCTAATAATTTATTTAGAGTAGAGTCTTCGTCTTGCTGTCCAATGTGTATTCTTAAAAACAATGGGTGATATAACTTTATATTCCTAATGTTATAGTGTTATTAATGTTATAAATATACATGGAAAGGCCTTAAGAGATATTATGTTGAATAAGACCAAAATATGTAAATTCCAAAATATCTATAGAGATTATGTTTTTTTATGTATTTTTTAGTCGAAAACAATATGCGGTTAGTTTCTGAGAAATTGCCAAGGATTCATTAGCATTTATGTGGTACCGCTGGGTGTGCACCAATTTGATATTATTTTTATGTTCTGTTTTGATTTTTCCGGTAAAGATCTCGGAAGCTTGCCCACGTACATAAAATGCGTTACCGCCAGACAATATGTTTGTGGTGTGCCCTTTGTGGTTAATTGTTTAGTTGGACTTTTGACTGTCGATTTCTGTCAGTTGGTATCTGTCAATTACGTACGACGTGGTCCAGCTGCGAGGAGTTCCTCGCCGGTTTTGTTAAAAAGGATATTTTCCAAGACCAACTGCCTCAAAATGTGTTTTTTATTGTTTAAAGCAACCCCAAATAAAACGAATTTTGAATTTTCTGTGAATAAATACAATACAATACAATTTTGGAATCAGATTCAGAGAATAATTAAAAAAACTTTCTCTTCACCTGTTTCGGAAATATTAATAAAAAAAAACTTTCGGCTCCATGCAAACCCTGCATGCAATGCATTTTGCCTTTGGCACAGCAATTTCGGGACGCCCTGTATATGCGGAGGCGATTCTCAATCAAGAAACGTTCTTTTTAATTTAAACATTAATAACCTTCATTTCGTTTTTTTCCAGGAAATTCCTTTAGGAGTATACTATTTAAGTAAATTATAAATAAGACTGGGCCCAAAACTGTCCCTTGCGGAACACCAGATGTAATAGACTCTGGAGTGCTTAGTTCATCTTCAATCTAGACGCGTTGCTTTCTCCCAGTTAAGTAATGCTTCAAATATCTGTGCGTGATTAACGGTGTCAAATGCTTTCGCGATATCTAGGAATATGCATAAAGAAGTTTTACTTTTGCCCAAACTCTCATAAGTTTTTGACGTTAGTGATGTTATAGCATCTTGCGTGCTTGTATTTTTTCGAAAGCCGTATTGTTTATCAGAAATTATTTTAAATTTTCCTAAGAATTTTGTTAGTTTTGGTTTTATTACTTTTTCAAAAACTTTCGCCACTGTAGATATTAGGGAAATGGGCCTGTAGTTTGTCATCTCTTGTTTGTTGCCGCTTTTAAATATTGGAGTCACAACAGAGAGTTTAAAGTCAGATGGACAAATACCAACTGCAAAAATATGGTTAACCAGATTAGTTAATGGTAATACTATTTCTTCACTGATATGTTTAATAATGTCTGGTTTTACTCCATCATTCCCACGGGCCTTCCCTTCCCTTGCCCTTGCTGACCTTCTACAGGAGGGGCGGCATTCTGGACGCCCTCTAGAGCGGCCTGGGGGCACAACGGGCCCATCTGGTGGCCTAAGTGCTTGGACGCCCGCGAGGGCGCCCCCCTTTAATACCAATACCAATAATACCAAATACCCACGGGCCTTTTCTGACGTTAGCTCTTTAATTATTTCCTGTACTTCATTTGTAGAGATATTATGTCGAACAAAGTGTTTTGTAGGTTTACGACTTTGCGGTTCTTTAATTTTTCTTGCTATACCTGAAAAGAATTTGTTAAATTCGTTTGCTATTGTCTTTTTACTAATACTGGGGATGTTTGTATTTGGTTTGCTACTTATAGACTTAACAACTTTCCAGAGGTTTTTCGGGCACATCTCATTTTCTTCTACTTGTTCTTTATAATAATTAGCTTTGGCGTTTTTATCGATTTATTAAGAATGCTTCGATAATTTAGGAATCTGTTTTTTAGCTCAGTATTCATATGTTGTGCCGTTATACTTTTTACATAGATCATTAAAACGTATCCTCCGACGGTACGTGACGACGACACCCCAGCGGCGACCTTGCCTATTACCGTCCTCCTACAAATCCAAATTTACCGCCGCAATTCCACCTCCACGGGTCTCAATAAACACGTAATCAGAACAAACGTCTTTCGGGCGTGATTCGTGGGCCCGACCGCACATTCCGAACAAAAAAGGCGACGGCTTAAATCGTCTCCCGCATAATCTCCCGTCCAAATTAAACATTTATATTTATAATCACGCAGTTTTACAACATATACACACGAATACAGCCTTAGGTTATCAGCGATTAGCGTCTTTATCACAGCGTATCACCTGGTGATGGTTAGGAAAGCGTTTTTCGGTTTGACTCTCATCCGTTTCAGTTCCTGAGACGGGATCTCGATGCGGTACGCGTCGCCGACGTTTCTGAGAAGCTGCGGCGTCTTCAGGCCGCGCTCCTTGAACTTCAGCTCGCAGAAAAACTCCCGTTCCTTCGGACCGCAGAACTTCGCCTCCCAGACGACGGTGTCGTTTGCGACGGATACGCGGCAGTAGAAGAAACCCTTGTCCTCGCTCGCCAGGAACGCTTCGCTGTGCTTCTGAAACCCCACGATGAAGGTGTCGAGGAGTTTGGTGCTGCTGTGGATCAGCTTCAGGTGGTGGTGCATGTTTTTGAATTGTGCCGTGTACCCGCATTCCTCCACGGGACACTTGTACAAGCAATACTTGCAGTTGACCTCGTGCTTCCTCATCTCCAGATACGGGAGCTTCTTCGAGCAGCCGAGCTTGCGATTCCTGCACGCGTACGTGTGGTTGATCGACTTCTCCTCCAGATCCAAGTTCCGCTCTTCGGTGATCCTCTCGTCGCACACGACGCAGACTCTTTTTGCTAGACCGCAGCTCGTGCAGAAGTTATGGCCGGATATGCAGAGGAAGATCGGCGGGTTCATCACGCTCTCGCAGTTCGTGCAGAGCAATTCCGGGTTTCTCTCGTCTTCTTTGATCGACTCCAAGCTGGCGGTACTTGGGTGGCGTCGCGCCGGCGTCTTCCGTCTGATTTCTTCGAAATTGAAGGTCTTCGACCTGGTCAAGTCGCACGCTTTCTCGCCAGATCTTGTCTTGATGTCGTCGAGACTTGCTTGCCTTTTCAAAGGGTGGTTCAGGCTGTCGGCCATTGAAATGCCGGAATCTGTAGGCGACGGATCGTAGAAAGCGACGCCGTTGTGTAGTCCGCGCTCCCCATCTGTCGAATCGTTGGAAACTTCCTCCGAAGGGTATTCTTCTTCGCCGCTGGCGATTCTGAAATCACCGCTAACAGATAGAACGCAATTGAGGGAATTGGTGTCTGCGAAGAGCCTCACGGACTCCAGACTGACTGCGAAGTAACCGCATCTCACGGTGATCCACTTCTTGTCCAGCCTCCGGCCCTCGTGTTCCAACTCCAAATCGAACGTGATCTTGGATGCGATGGTTTCCGGTCCGAGATATCTCAGGAACACGTAGAGGTGATCCCCGTCGGTTTTGGCCTGGTGGAGGTAGATTTCTTCGTCGAAGAAGACGAGTTTGTTTTCGGACGATACGCGGAGATCCACGGGCACCACGTTCGAGAAGCTGAGAAGTTCCTCGTGCTCTTCGGTGAAGTGTTCGAGGATGTCTTCCGCAGCGCCTTCCCAAGAACAGGCGTATTTTTTGTCGGTCGGGCACAGGTAGATTTTGGGTAGCATTTTCGAAGATCGGGGTTACTGAAATTGTAGCAAAAAAGCGATGTATAGGTAGAGAGGTACTTTGGTTGTTTCCAATAGTTCTCATTTGGCCGCAAAGGAAAGAAATATTTTTAAGTGGTAAATCTGGTTTTAAAGTTATATTTTTAAAGAACTTTTTATTGTTATTAGTAATTAATCCAAGTTTAAAACTTATGTTAGGGTGTTTAGAGCTTAAATGTCTAAGAAAATCTAGTTGGGATTCTTGACAATGAGGTCAAATAACAAAAGTATCATCGACGTAGCGTTTATATGGATGGTGTGGGCTTTCTTCTCAAAGGCTTCAATAAATATATTCGCTATGACTGGAGATAATAGAGAACCCAAAGCTATTCCCGCAAAACAAACGAGACAGTTTAAGTTAAGCTCCGAAGAAGCCAACATGATGATTGGCGAAAGGTCAGTAAGTCCGATTCAACAACAACCGATGAAGGAGAAATCCAGAACTTTTTTATAAGTTTTTGTCGCAATGGCCAAGAATCCTATAGGCTGACTCAAAAGTAGATTGTTACATGATTACTTTTGATAGTTCAAGAAAAATGCTGGCACATGTCCATTACAATGTAATGAAATATACAAGGTGTGTCAAAAAGGAGATGGCATACATATCCTCTTACTTTTTATGAGCAAAAGAATGCATGTCGAAAAACTTATTTTATGAGGTGCTGAAAATCTAAAACCTCAATTTTCATTAATTTGCCTTATTTCGTATCTAACTATAAATTTTCGTATCACTTAAATTTGGTGTTTTTCCTTATACACTTTTTGCTTTAAATATCCCGAGCTGGCTTGAATTTGAGAAAGAAATTGCGATAAACAAACTACAAAATTATTTTTGAATTCTGGTTTTGTCTCCACATCTTATACTTAAAAATTAACATTTTTAATGTAATAATTTCAGAACCTTGCTGGTGCTAGCTTCTTACCTGTCATTTCAAAATCAAATTTCTGATTTTTATTCTTTTTCTCATTGAAAGTAAGATATAAATATATAAATTTTATATAAATATAAAATGCTCAAAAAAAATTACTTAATTTTTAAAAGATTTTTTTTTATATTTTAGCCCTTTAGTGTAAATAACCAAAAAAAACATATAACAAATGTCCGATAAGAAGTAATGAATTATTATTATTATCATTATTTATAAAAAGTGAAGTGTATAAGTAAGGAATATTTAAATTAACCTTTGAATTATTGTTTAGCTTTTGCAATAAAATGACAATTAATAGTTTCAATATTAATTACATATAAATAATTATATATTAAAAAAAATTGCATTTGTTGTTAAATTTCCAAATAAGTGTCAAATAAATAGCGAAAGTTTTAAGAGTAATTTTTCAATTTTTGTTTGCGGATGATTCGGTAGCGGCGCAGTTTTGGTTGGTTCATTAGTCAATTTCGGTACTTTGAAGGGCTTTTAGAGCGAATTTCAGTAAGCGCTTTGATAGATATGAGCTAATATTTAATGGAGGTATTAGCGACAGACTGTTAGCCCACACGAAGCGTCCCCCGCTTTAGACCAAAAGGTTTATACTCTATTCGTTTATATATTAAAAAAATTGACAAACTTTAAAGTACTATATTGTTATATACACATTTTTTTATTCTAAACTTTATTGGTCATGCATAATTAAAAAATAAAATTAAGAAACGCCAATGCTCGATTGTTAGTTTTATGTCATAGTTTGCCGTCATCTCCTTGCCCAGTATAGCATTTAGGAATTTATCAAAATCTACAACAAAGGATCCCTTTTTTTTAATGCAAAGCACGATAAAAAAATAAAAAATGATTTGTTTAGATTTGAAACAAAGAAGCTTTTTTATATAATGTTTAGACTTTTTCCCAAAGTTTTTATAGTAAATCGTTTTTTTATTAATTATTATAAACATTTTTATTTATGGTAAGGCAACATTTTTTTGCCTCTTCTGAGAGAAACCTGGGCCGAATAATAAATGATGGATGTTTGGAAGGTGGTTTGTACTGATAAATGAAATTTCACTCGCGTTGGTATCTTCAATCAGCATGGCGCCCACATTCAGGCACAAGAAAATCCTCATTTTATAAAAGTCCATTTTGTTCAATTTGATTGGAAAAAGGTTCATTGTTTTATATGAGTGCATAAAAAAAGTAAATTTTACTTCTTATTCGCAACATTTCTTAATACATTTTTTATTTCTTCGTAAAATCATTCGGTCTCATTCCAATTTGCATCTGTGTGCGTTTGAGATGACATCTTTCTATGTCGGTATTCTTAATTTATGTAAGTTATTTTATTATTTCAAAAATTCGATTTGGCAGTTTAGTTGCGTCGTTATATTTTTGAGGATGGGCGATTTGTTTTAGAATTTTTCAAAATCTATCAGAAAAAAAAATATATGGCCTGTCATTTAAAAGGATCCAAATATAGTCGTTTGTTATGAGAAACCTGCAATATCTAATTCAAATTCGGTCGCATATACCTTTTACGTCATTTTTGGATAAGCATTTGAGCGATCTGCTTTTAAAAATAATAGGGCTATCGTAACTTTTTGTGTGAGAACTAGTATTTTTGAAGAGAGATTAAAATGTTGGAAAAACTGTCAGGTTAGTTGATAATTCCAAAACGAATTCAAAACAAAATTTAAAAATAGCGTGCCTAAGAAAATCGACGTCTAATTCATCACGCTTTTTAGAACCACCCTGTATACTTCAAAATAATTTTAAATTATGCATCCTCACAATGTCTACAACTTTTGTATTTACCATTTTCTCATAACTCAACTTCTACTTTTTGACCCACCTTGTATATTTTCAGATTTTTAAACGACTTTATTCTATATTTTAGCCATTCATATAAACCAGAAAAAGCACATAACACCAATATTCGATAAGAAACAAATTGTTTCTGAAACAATCGAACAAATCCTCTCATATAAAGAGTTGATCCCTTTTTTAAAGATAAATGCAAATTATAACGGCAAGTTTACCAAAACAAAAGTTTTTGAGATAATTAATAAAAAACCGTTTTTTGAATAAAAACTTCGACACCCTGGATGTCGAAAACAAACCCAGCTTGGACGTTTGTCGGATTAACTCTGGCTCACCCTGTATAACAAATGCTATTGACATACAATTCAAAATATGTCGAAAACGACAAGACTTATGTATAGGGTAATGATTAAGGGAGTATGTTCACAAAGTCCGACGAATTTAAAAATGTTTAATATACAGGACGTTCTGTATATTATAACAATGTACTATTTTAAAAGTGTAAGTTCATACAAACATCCTCCCTTTGACGCTTACGTGGCGAGTTGATTTACAAGGTTTGCGATAAAAATCGCCCAATTTATTTCGTCTACTCATTCGGTGATAAAAATCGAAGACCACCAAACCAAACATTTATACACCGTCTCCGTTTCTCTTTTTCTTGTTCGCGTGAAACCGATCCCGATGTCACTGGGCTTTGCTGCGCCAAACTTCCCGTCAACCAAGCGAAGAACTAGCGCAAAACTATTTCGTATTACAGCCACGCACTTTATCTTCGTCTCCTGACGGTCTGACGACTTACCTCAGCTATTGTTCACCGATCGATCATTGTTTATGATGATGTTTCGCGAAAGCATTTTCAATAGACCGGGCACAGGCCGTTCAAGAATTAGTGAAACGACCGTCGCATCGTCGAAAACGTCACTGATAACGCGGTCGTACAGGTATACACGCGATAAATCGCCTTATCAGCGTTTATTTTTTCCAGAATATATTAATTCGATGCGCCAAGGTTACAGTGCCAAAGTTATATTTGTCCAATAGTACAGGGTGGACCGTTTATCACGGAATGACACGTTTTATCTAAAAATCATTAAACAATATCCGATAATCAAATTGCAATAAGAATAATAATAAATAATCTTTATTCGGTAACATACAAAGCGTTACAAATCCAAAATAATCCAAAATAATTGCTCTTATATATACCAAAAAGTATTTTTGAAATCAGGAAGAGTACAAACAAAATTGCTCATCAGCTTTTTATTTAAAAAAAAAAAAGGCACTTGGCTTATTCGCATTGTTTTTCTATCATGCTCCTGCGGACCACCCTGTATAAAGTGTCCTTCACATCTCGTCGAACGTCAAAGTTACGCCAAACTTCAGTAAATATTAAAATTTGTACTTTCGATACTGTTCATATCAAATCTTTAAAAGTTTTTTATTTATCGCCAATAATTCACTTACAAAAGCGGAAATTTCTAGGATCTATTAGAATTTTTTGTTCACAAACGAGGTACTTGTTTTCTGAAACCATGCAGTACTTGGTAATAGTAAATGACGTCATCGCTTATAGATTGAGGGCTGGAAATGATGATTTTCATTTGGATTTTTTCAAATATCTCGAACGGCGTATAGGATAGACGAAAACCGTAAATACAAAAATTGTAGCCCTTGATACGGCCTATAACACTGTTTGTACGGATTAGCTATTGTTTCTACGACTTTTGATTTACGGTTAATAATTTACTCTATAAAAGAACAAGTTTCAGGGTATTTTAGATTTTTGTCTATAACTAAAACACCTTGTATATAATCAAAAAAATGCTTGAAATAAAAGTTATAGCGCCGGGTCTCCCACGTATTACGGATGTAAAATTTTCCTGATCGGATTAATGGCTTTGCAGGAAAAGATGTTTTTCTGGATGCCAAAATAACCACAAAAAAAATTCAAAAATTAAAAAAAAAACTTCGCGTTACTTTATTGCTCCTAATTTAAGAAGTCTAAATGCGAGTCCAGACTGCTACTTCTCTCCCAAGTCTGAAGTCGGTAGCTGCAATTTTGGAGTACTTATTATGTTTTTTAAAATTGCACGGAATATCGCGAACACCCTGTACAATACTTAAAAATCGTAAATACAAAAGTTTAAGCTATTTATATGGGCTATATCGATTTCATCGATTTTCGAAAGTAACAAGAAGCTTCAAAAGAAACATGTCTTCTTACAATAACGCCAATATCGTGGATAAGGAATATTAATAATAGTGGAGAATTGAAGACAAGGAATGAACGTAAACGTAAGAAGGAAAATATATTGTCTTTATCAAAGCGAAGTTGTGCCTACCTTGGATACATTGAAAAAGAAGCTAGAAGAAGTTGAAGCTAATAAAAATATAAGCCGTGCCACCGTCCATGGAGCAGGCACGTCTCGCCGAATTTCAAAGTTACAGCAAACTTTTATTTTACCATTTAATATATAGAATTCAAAATATTGAATATAGAACAGACTCTACAAAGCTGGAGTAAAAAATGTGGAAAGATGGGTATACCCGTATATGGCACCACACTCGCTGCTTTTAGCGGATGTCAAGTTATTTTTGCAGAGGAAAAAGAAGACATGGATTCTATGATACACACAAGATTACCAATTGTGGAAAATTAAAATAGATATGGGTAAAACTGAGTACTAATATTACACTAATACTAACAAACTTTACGGTACAATGAATTTTCTTATAAATATCAGTTTGATTACCCTCCGCGAGAGCACCGAGGCGCCATAGAGGATAATCTAACTGAGGTCCTTAATTATCCGTTTGGGAAAGAAACTTGGCATCAACCTCTACTTTTTGACCTACACTGTACATTTTTCGATTTTTAAACAACTTTATTCTATATTTTCGGCATTCATATAAAGTGAAAAAAACACTTTATAAGAAATATTCGATAAGAAATAATCAATGATTATTCTTATTATTATTTATTTTATCTAATTGAACAAAAACTCTTATATGAAGAGTTGATCCTTTTTTTGAGGAGGGTTAATTGAGGTCCTTTATTATCGCAAATTAGAACGAAAAGTTGTACAAAACTATCAATCTTTGAAGCATTTGCTATCGGCAATACACCAAGATGATGACCAATAAGAGACAAAATAAGAACTAGTAAACTGGATTATATTAGACAAAATAAGAACATCAGAAAAATGGCAATGAATGGGAGTAGAATACTCAATAACAGGGCAACAGGAAAACGGAGCGTTCCAATGGTATGATTAATCAGCACTAAGATGGCAAACATATAATAGACATGCGATGATAGATAGAGACCTGAGAGTAGCGGACTTGACTGTAAGAAAGCTGCAGAGGACAAGAACAGTGAAGAAAAAAAGAAGAAGAATGTTAGGGCGATAAATGATACAAATCAATCATCAAAATATGTCAGAAACGGTTATACTTAAGTATACCATATTTTATTTGATATATGTCTAGAAAGGGATTTATAAGTGCCTGAGTAATATTTGAAATAAGAAAGTTACTTGTTCACGAAAATTCGGACGTCTTGTATATATAACGATATAGTATTTTAAAAGTATAAGTGTCTCCAAGCTTTTTTGATGATTTTTACGGCTTTCTATGGAAATATGCCATGTAATATTAAAAGTGCCACCCTGTAAAACGATAAACATGATAGCGTTTATTTTTACGATCCCCCTCTTCGCGAATGTTGACTTTATCGGGGCTAATCGATGCAAAATATTCGAACGAACGAATAAAGTTTGAATCAGGGAGATCAACGCGTTCACCTAAACTGGTGCAAAAAAAAATTCGCCCACGGCTAAATCCGAACCTGATTAATACGATTCGTGGAAACGTATTTGTTTGGTGTTTTGCGATGGATTAATTAGATCGCTCATGTTTCGCGATAAAATGATGCGTTTTTTACGCCCCCTGTCGGCTATTTGAAAACACCGAGTAACGAGGGATCTGTATATCTGGGTGTCATAATTACGAACCTAGTGTGCCGTGACCAGCACGCATATTTTGTTTTCGCGAAGCTGGCAAATTTCCGTTGTCAGTTTTAGTTTTTATTTGCTGTTTATTTTGCCTGAAAAAGTCGAAAATATCGTGGATAAGGAATATTAATAATAGTGGAGAATTGAAGAAAAAGACTAAACGTATTGATTTTTAAAGTCGCACTATCGACAATAGTTATGAGAACCTACGCTTGTCAAAGCGAAATTGTGCCTACCATAGATAAACTGAAAAAAAAAAGCTAGAAGAAGATGAAGCTAATATAAGTATAACCCGTGCCACCCTCCATGGAATAGGCAAGGCAAGTAGTAATGGAATCACACAGAAGAAATTGAAAGTTATAGATTAGACAACAGATCCATAATTTACTTACACACTACACTGTATGCAAATGATGGGTTGATTCAACTGAAAACTGTCAGAGCAGAGCACCTTTACATAAAGGAAAACGCATCACTATATTATACGCTGGGTCAGAAGATGGATTTGTCCCAAACTACTTGATATTGTTTTGCAAAGTATATTGGGGATTCAGCTTCAGGTACAGAGGTCAGCCTAGGAAAATGACATTTGGTTCTCTCAGAAGTTAGATCATTTCACAGATATTTATTTTTGACTTGTTGACCTAAAAACCTCTACTAAGGTGATTTGATCGGAAAAAACACTAGTGAGAATAATTTTAAATTTATTGTTACAACCATCAAAATTTGATGCAACTGCATAAGCAATAGGCCTGGGCAATTTATACATGGAATGTTTAAATATGAAAAAATTAATTTACTTAATTTACAAGCATCAAATGAAGGTGCAGGCAAATATTCATTATTTTTCTTCAAAGGAAGCAAATGTCTGAGTCTTTGAACAAAAAAATGTATTAACAGCTGTCGCATGTCAATCGAAATCCAAGATATTGGAGTGATCAATTATAGAGACAAAAGAAAGTAAAATAATCACTCAGGCTACGAATCAAATTTGAACATCATAGACTGACAAAAACACAAGTACAATTTAACTTCAGTTTACTAGGGAATAAATAGTTAACCCTAACGAACCGAACGGAAGAAAAGAGGTTCTTGAGATTCATCCGAATTAATATTTTTTAGAACACAGGAGAAAGCTGCTGGAGTTTAAACTTCTGTTGGAAGCAGTGAGCATGGAGAAGAATCGGCTTTGCATTGCTGCCAGTAGTTTATTTTTCTGTAATAATGATCATTTGACATTCTTCAGACGAAAAAGTACTTCTGCTCTAATTTTTCCGCTAGCCCTTTTTGAGTTCAGTTACGACAATTCTGTGGAATTTCTTAGGTAACTTCATCAAAACTGGTCCGAAGACTTGCTGATTTCATAAACTAGCACCGAAAGTGATAGAAGTCACTTCTTTGTTCCGCCCAAAAAGCTGCTATTGCTGCTTTCTGGCAATTCTCGAATTTGATTTGCTGTATTTATTAATCTTCTTTTGTTTTTGATGGTAATCTATGTCTATGTCTATCTTCACAGAGACATCTTCTGAGGATACACCAAATTAGTCACCATTCTCCGTGAAGTTTAGCGAAAAATTAAACCGAAACAAATTGACCACCTAAAACCTAAAATAGACTCCCATTGTAGTACGAGACTACTAGACGACTGATGATGATGAGGAAAATAATGATAAGAGTTAAAAGATAAGGTAAAATGGATAAATTGAGAATAAAGACTTCATGTCTTTTAGAGGGTAATGACTGGATTTGAACAAGGATTAACTATAAAAATTACATTAAAAAAATAATTAAGAGGAATTCAACCACAAGATTTATTTCGCTGTGCGAAGCGTCTGCTCTGTTATGTACTTTGCAGTCTACAAAGTCAGAAAAACAGAAACAGAAAATTTTGTGATCTTTTAGATTTTTTTACCCATAAACAAC